TCCAAAACGTTTTTCAGGTTGTAAGCCATGTATTGTCTCTGGACATTGCATGTGCCTCAAGCACCTCTACTATGAGAATGGTGGTGTTAGATAGCTTTTCTGCTATCTTCTGCTGTATCCCCATCACCATTTGAATGAACTTGAACATCAGAAAAGGACAGTGGAAAAGGTTCCCTTTTCAGGACAGACATGACTGTTCCGATGCCCCCTAGTGATCTGGTATGTGCAATTCCAAGTTGTTACGGTAGATATGAAAATATAGGAAAGGATTACATTAACTCAGAACTGAAGAAGGGTTTTGCTTCACATATTACGTGTACATATTGAGTGTGCAATCACATACCAGTAAGTTAATTGTTTATTAAATGCAAATCATCATTGCACTGTTATTGCCTCTACATTAGTTGTGAATAAAATTGTAAATGCTCTCGATGCTTAAATGACTTGTGCTGTACTGTTTATTGACTTGTCTTAGGCCTTTGACACTGTAGACCATTGTTGAAGAAATTGTCATTAATTGGCCGTAATCCTGCTGCAATCCTGTTTTTTTACTTTTCTTACCGACTGAACGCTATCTATCCCACGGTTTCTGTGTCCTGAAGTTGCTTGATTCTGTTTATCGTAGTGCTCTGCGTTTTATGACTTTAAATATATGACTTAGTCCCAGAAAGTTGACTGTACCTTAGAAGTGCGTATATCCCTCCATTACTCTATTTTTGTTTTTTCAATCCCTACTCCACAGGCTTGTGGTATACATAATATCACAGTAGACACACAGATCATCTGGATTCAATACTAAATAATAGAGTTAGATAGTGTTACAGACACCTTATGTAGCTACTGGTTGGGTAGTTCGGCCTTCTCTTTTAAAGCACCTCTTATGTGGAAAGCATCCAATTAGAGATTTGTTTGGAGTTCGTAGTGTCCATGGGTCAATTGAAAAAGAAAACATGTTAGATTAATTGTAAGAATTATGTTTCTTTTATTTGACTGAGATTATAAATGTTATGTCCGTGTGTCCGTTAATTGTTTGTATTTGTCCTTAAGTGTCGTTGTATTTATGAGTTGATGTTCCCATGGCACGGTGGCAAATGTCTCTCCCTGGATAGATAAAGGTTAAATAAAATAAATGAGAAAATAAATAGCAATGTTCTTAAACCTAAACATAATGCCACACTCTTTCAGGTATTTGTGTGTTTTACTGTCCACGTTCTCCTGCCTTGTGTCGTCTGCCATTTGCTGCATTCTCCCTTGTGATTGCTGATATGTGCTTTATAATATAGAGGGAGTGAGGTGGTTAAGTCCCCTGGTGTTCCCTGATGATTCCCCCGTACTCATTCCTCTGCCCGGGGTGCTGGGTACCAAGTTCCATCTGGAGGAAGAACTGTCACAAAATTGTATCATTATTATTCTATTCCGAGAGCAGAATTCCAATCTCAATTCAATTTAAAGACACATCTATAAGTTCCCGCCTGGAATTATTTTTACTTAATGAACTAACATAATACTAGATTCCTCAATCTTATAAGGACTATCTTTTACTATAATTCACAACATATTTTAATCACCTTTAAGTATGAACTATTCTATTGGTCAGAAATGTGATTATATTTATTTACTTCAATACAACTTTACTGTTGCTGTTATTGCTACATACACAGACTGATCTAATGATGTTTCTGTAATTACATTTGAATTGCTCAAAAACCATACAGTACCATGACATTATGTTTATTACTAATCACGTATCCCAACTTGCATTTAAATATATGTGCAATTAAATCCGGCACTTTTATTCTACTTTATTTATATGCCTTGTTGAGAGAATATGGAGAAAGATGGAGAAATATGTAACATCTATACTGTAATTAAACCCTCTTAGCTTGCCGGTTGATGACCTGTGACATTCCAGGGGTTCAGTGTTCACCAAACACTCAGTTATTGTGACCTACCTAACCAATGCTCGCTGTTTCTACTCCTCCATGCTGAATTGTACTTGGGAGCAAAGGAGGGGAAGATAGTTTGATAATGGAGGAGAAAGGTGCTCTCAGTCAGTACCTTAGAAGGGTTGTGAAGAAGAATAATTAAATATCAGGGCTTTGTGAAAATATGAAAGAAGAAAAGCTGAAAGCGAGAGGTGGTGATGGTAGATGGCAGGGCTGGGAGAGCTTAGGGCAGAGACGGAGAGGGGGGTAAGGAATTGTCTGATTTTTTTGTATGACCTCCTCTCTGGCCCATCCATCAGACAGGCTACCTCATTATTCTAACTAGCCCGCTCCTTTCTTCTATTGCGGGACACCATCAGCTGCAATCTGCATGCCAATTATGAGCCAGACCCCCTAAATACTTCTGTAAGGGAAATGATCTGTCAAAGAAAAAAGGAAAGGCAGCTAACCAGGGGAGGCTTGTGCCACTGTAGCTCCAATCTCGTCTACACATCCCCCTTAAGAATCCCCTCACAGAATTCAATTCTCCAAGACACCCTTTTCTCTACTTGTGTATTAATATACATAAACATCCATTCAAAAGTTTGGAGTCACTCAGAAATGTCATTGAAAGAAAAGAAAAAGGTATTGTCGATGAAAAAACATCAAATTGATCAGAAATACAGTGTATGTCACGTTCTATGCAGGTATATTGCATGGAGTGAGCCATTGGCAGAGTCGGAATGTCGCGTTCGGGAGTCACTGAACGGAAAAACTATACACTGATGAAATACAAGTGCTCTTACTGTGACGACTTGTAAAACGCATTCAAAACGGAGACAGAAAAAACACTCACCAGAAAAATGGACATAATGTAAAACAATGCAAAGCAAATGCCTATATCCCCATTGAACTAAAATAGCCTAGCTAATCACCCAGCTGAAAACAGCTGTGCACAAAGAAAACACTCTTCGGAAAACAAGACGTGCACCCCACTAAAATACCCGGAGTGGAAACTAAAGGTTCCCACCCCTTACAGTACTTCTTCCGAGGGCCTGGCTGTCAAACAGGAGTCGGGGAACCGCTGAGGATTTACTTTTAGAAATATAAGTGTGGTAGTGCATATATAAAAGTGCATACATAAAAGTGCATATATAAAAGTGCATATATAAAAGTGCATATATAAAATGGTTTAGTATGGATTAAAACAAACAAATGTGCATGAAAAGTGCCTAGAGCTTAAGAATGTTTGTTGATCAATATGATCCGGAGATTCATGTTGCTGGTTGAGAAATTCGGCCTGGTGGTAAAAAAAATGTTAGTCTGGTAGACCATGCCCCAATGCTCCGGTAACGCCTACTAGACGGCAAGAGTTAGAACAGACCAATGCCGGGGTGGTTTAGTTTTTTATGATGTTCCGTGCTTGGCGTATCGTACATGGTGAAAGGGACCTTGAAGAAGGTAGGCTAAGGAGCCACATTCCTCCCACAACAGGACAACATCAAACCACAGCTCCAAACTATGCATTAACTGTTCAGGGAAGAAGCAGTCAGCTCGTATTCTGTGTATAATGGCCAGCAAAGTCCCCAGATTTCAACCCTAATGAGCTGTTGTGAGAGAAGCTTGACCGTATAGTACGTAAGATGTGCCCATCAAGCACTTCTGGGAGGTGCTTCAGGAAACATGGGGTCAAATCTTTACAGATTACCTCAATAAATTGGGTGGGAATGCCAAAGGGCTGCAAATCTGTAATTGCTGCAATTTGACGTTTACAAGGCAGAATTATTATTTCTACTGAAAATTAAGATTTCTTACCTTATCAATGACTGGATTTCCTATTCATTTTGCTATATTTCCATATCAAATTAATTAAATGTATGTTGTCAAATAAAACAACGACTTTTCTTAGTGACCCCAAACTTTTAAACAGTAGTGTGTTTGTGCATATACGTGTATATATATATATATCTCTGTTTATCTCTATTTTCCTCTCCATTCCCTTAAGTTCCTTTTTTAACTCTCTCTCTCTCTGTATCTTTCCCTCTCCCTCTCTCCCCCTCCTTCTACCCCTTTATTTTCAGCTTCCTTATACAGCAGTGACAGGGCTTCTCGGAAAATTAATGTATGGAAGGGAGGTGATTTTTTAAAATAAATGTAGCTATTCTCCCCTTCTGTCCGGCGCTCGCTCTGGAGGGCAAGTGAAGTGAGTTGGTGGTAATTGCCTAGGAGAGGCGGACCCATAACAAAGAGACAATCTCTGAATGTTACACTAAGGGCAAGGGAAGCGGTCGTGAAGCTGCCATCGAGATATGCCTCGCTCACTTATCATTTATTTTCTATTTCATCATCACATTACAGATGAGCCTCTATTTCTGATCACCTTTTCTGGTCCTAAAACTGGAGTAAGTCCACATATAGAACAGAGTACAACAGTCATAGGCGTACATTTAGGGTGGGACGGTAAGGACATGTCCCCACCAATGTTTAGGAAACATGGATTGTCCCTACCAATAATTGAGACTAAACATATATTTTTTAATTATTCTGCTACACAATTGGTTAACTCTCTCAAGGTCAGCGTTACTCCTGATTGGCCGTAGAGCGCTGATCACAATGTTTACCAGCCTGTCAGCTAACAGTGGTCAGGTGATCGTCAAAGCGAGACTGTGAGAAGAGATTCAATGATTGGCTTTTTGGCAGGCTACTCCTGTAAGGTATACGTTAACAATGCCTGAATAATAAACGATAAAATCTAATTATATTACGCTCCTGTATATTGTTGTTGAAAATATAGTATCCTTTGCTCACTCTGGAACTGGAACACAACTACGGAATTGTCTGCTTGCTAGCTATTGAACATTAATTTGTCTTGGATGGAGACTATGCCGTAGTTGCGGTCCAAGCAATGCTAGCTAGTACCTGCAAACATGTAGTTATACTGTCATACCAAACTGCTAATTTTAGTGTTTTTTAGATGTTAACAGAATGGCACCAAACAACAAATTCCTGATACAAGGTCCTTCTTCACAAAAAGACGTGTAAAGATGTGTAAGTTGTATACATGAATAAGATTGAGGAGTTGGTAGCCCAGTGGTTGAGTGCAAGCTTTGTAGGTATAATGTCCTGGGTTCAAAACCCAGCTTCTCCCCAGGTCGCCGTTGCAAATGAGAATTTGTTCCCAATCGCCCTACCTGGTTAAATAAAAAATGTCTTGCTTTGCATTGTTTGTTACAGCTAGTTTACACAGTTATACATTATTAAAAAGTATTGTACTATATACTGTGTCATTTATCAGACAAATGAAGTGCCAGTTGATCTAAGCACCAGTAAAGAGACAGAAAGACATGTAGAAACATGGTCCAGATGAGGTCTTAACAATAGTCTACTAGTGATTATGACAGTTAGTGTTCAAATTGAATAAGACACGGAGACACGGTGTGTTACCAGCATAAACTACTGCCATGAAGAAATACTCAGAAGAAGAATTTTGCATTCCCATATATATATATATATATCTATGACATGTCAACTTCTGTGTCCCCACCAAAATTCAAACCAAACCTACACCTCTGACAACCGTAATCCCGTAGCGACTCTTTTTGATACAGAGAACACATCCATGAGAACCAAGGTTCATAGATGACATAAAAGACGTCCAAAATCAAATGTTTCGTTTGATTTTCAGTACAGCAAAGAGACCCCGCAGCCATTAAGAGGAACAGTTGCTCTGCGAGGCGGCAGAAAATTGCAGTTTGTTCTGTCTGCCTTTGTAGTGATGTGTGTGCCTCTATGAAAGACTTATCTATGCAATTTAGGGCCATTTTGTTGGATTGTTTTACGCCTCCATCTGTATCCTCCCTCAGAAAAATGCTTACAAAGCACAACAATCTCTCTCTGTTCTCAACTGCCACCTCCTCATCTCGTCGCTCTGCATTGCTCCCCTCTCCACTACCACAGAGGGCATTTGAGAACAGTGTGCTATACAAGATGAGGCAATGATGGCACTAGACTAGAATCATTCCTGTATGAGGCGACCATTGCCAGTGGTAGAATAATGCCCGAATTAGTATTATAGATTTGTAACTGTAATTGTATCATAGCTATAACATGTGGATGCTGAGTGCAAACCCCTGTATAATATCTAAGCATATGTTTCATTATGCTTTCTGAGTAACCTTCCTCCGAATTTTTAACACTCTGGAACTGTGGTGAACAAAATGTATTTAAATATACAGTTATCCACAGAGAGGAAGAAATTAGTGTTAGCGTTGAAGCAGTACACTGGATATCTGAGCTCAACCCAGGCCAGCCAGCCGACCATAGCCTCCAGTCATAATTAAACATCCAGTTGTAGAGTTGTCACTAGTCAATTACACCTCCTGCTCTACGAGCCCTCGCTCTGAAAGCTAGCCATGGGAAGAAACTGAGACATTGCAGTCTGAGAGAAACGACACAGATAAAAAGACGAGGAAATGAAGATTATTGTGAAGTGGATGAATTTTTACCCCAGTTGAACGACCAATGTCAGAAGGTGAGCAACCACATTTCTCCCAAAACAGGAAGCTATTACAGCCGATTACACAGAACAGAGGGATTTCCCACTGAACATTTAACGTCTTTCAACGTTGAAATATAGTTGATACTAAGTCGGTTTGCCTTGGACTGTTCTTACCACGTGTTTTCAAGACAGAATAAGTCAAATATACCATGTGTTTTTAACTATTCATCTAAGACAGAATAAGTCAAATATACCACGTGTTTTCAACTGTTAATCTAAGACAGAATAAGTCAAATATACCATGTATTTTCAACTGTTCATCTACGACAGAATAAGTCAAATATACCATGTGTTTTCAACTGTTCATCTAAGACAGAATAAGTCTATTATACGTGCTAAAATAAATGAGAAAACAAGCTGCCAAACCACGTTTACTACATATTCCATACATGTAATTAAAACTAAATTGAAACTGGAGTGATGATGAGACGTGAGAACCAGCATTTCCCCCCATTAAGCCAGATCACTCACCTTACACCAGAAAGCCAAATATGTAGTGTGCAGCTGCGTAAAGTAAGTAGCTAGCAATGACACAATAAGTGTAATGTTATGGACGTTTAGCACACAAACTATTTTATACTACCACTTGCGCTCTGTTATTAACGTTAAACGGTTTAAACATGTTTTCGTTAGGCTATTTCTAAACTGGTTGTGCCTGGTTACCAGTAACTAGCCTGCTAGCTAGCTTGCTGAGCTGACACAATGTTAATGAGAATATATCTAATTTAGCTTACCAATTGTATATCTGTTGGGCAGATGTTCAAGTGTAAATACAATGTGAAATATGAGCCTAGGATGCAAGACATGTGGATTATTCATGCACCATTTCATGTATTATGTAGTTTCAGCTGCAGAAATGCAGTGGAGTAAAACTGCCACGGAACATGAAATCAAGACTGATATTACTGTGACTAAAATATGCTCCCGGGAGTCATATTTTAGGCATTTAGAATAGCATGTTATTATTTTTATTGTAAAAAAAATTGTAAAGCTTTTCTTAGTTAAACTTTGGAAAGTGAGATCGTTGTTGGTTTTTGTCTACCAGTTTATTGCATCTTTAAATGTAAAAAAATATATGCAATTAACTGTTGTATAAATTGGTATTATAAAGATTAGTAAACTTTTTCTAGCTTCCTATTTCATTGAAATGGTGATCTAAAATGTTCTTTGCCACGTGTATTTGTTGTTACTTGATTTTCTAGAAATTCCACAGTTATTTAGATGGAACAAATTTTTCAATATTAAAAATTTTGACGTCTTTTCAATTTCCATTTTCAACCTTCAGTGGACATCATATAAACATCTAAGATTGAGGTCTTTTCAAGGTTCAATAGACAACTTTTTGCTCACTGGGTTTGGCGCTGCCTTAATTGGAGCTTTCGTGGAAATAGTTTTCCAATTACCAAAATTCTAGCCTACGGTTAATGCAGTCACACTAGGAAACAGGGAGATGGAAAGGCGTCCATTCCTGCCGATGGTGGATTAGAAAGAAAGGAAGGGAGAAGGGTGCTGTTATATGTACATGTAGACGAAGGAGGAAGAGAGAAATAGGTTCTTTATATGCCAGCCTAGCAAGCAAGTTTATTTATATAGCACAATTCATACATCCAAGCAATTCAATGTGCTTTACAGAGAAAAATAATTATAAAATACATGCATTTTATATTCATAACAACCTGTAATGCTGAAGTGACGGCATATGCAACCTAGGGCTCCCCTGTGGGAGAACGCTGGGCAGAGCCATCTACAAAAAACCTGTTTACCACCAGGGTCGCTACATTACCCCCACCAAACGGGAGAGCGTGTCCTCACGCTTCACTTATCCAAAGTCCCTCACGGAGACACGCCTCTCCGATGGCCCTCGCTGCCATTCCCACTTCTGGCACAAATGTAGTGTCTGGCGGGGGGAATCGAACCAGCGCCCTACGGCTCTTCTGGTGAAAGGTCCTTAGTTCCAGGTTTCTATTACCTGGCCCAGTGGTCTTTAGAACTTCAGATCTTTAATGAATACATTACAGGTTTTCATTTATGCCATGCATCAGAATAAAAACAGCCCCTACGCAGCCCTTCGCACCAGTGTTCCAGTGCCGGTTACCCGAGCTCTTGTCGTTGCCCCGTCACACTTCAGCTCCTCTTTTTGCCTCGGGAGCGGAGCCTGCTTGCCCTTCTTCCTGGGGGTCGGATGCTCTATCTGCTCTAGTGCCACGTCCTGCTCCACGTGCGGAGCCTCAAACAATCACAACGCTACGTCCCTTTTTCCGGGGCCGGAGTTTCCACTTTCCTTGGTGCCACCTGCTCCTCCTGACCCAGCACATCGTCCTACTCTGGGGCCGGAGCCTCCATCTGCCCAGGTGCCATATCCAGCTCCAGGGGTGTAGCCTACACCAGCCCCAGGGTCACGTCCTACTTATTAGCTACAGTATGCTAATAAGTCCAGTTGATTTATACTTGTTATTTATTGGTTTAAAAGTAGACATGTGTATTTTCAGGCTGGAGATTGCCTAGAATCTTTTCTGTAAGTTCATTTGTGTAGTCTCTGACCTTCCCTCATCAAAAAATTTATAATATTTTTTTATGTTATGCTCACTGAAGACTCACCTTTCTAAGAGTCTAATAAGAGTGCCAATCAGAACATCACACATTTAATTTATTCACTTTAAAATAAAGGAGATACATATTTAAAGATTGCATTTCTTTTTTTCTCTAGCACAGGTGTCATTACTGACCTAATTTCGCAATTCAGCAAGTTCCTATTGAGAACTACAAACAACATAATTTATTCCTCTATGGAGTGTTTCATTTCACCCTATAAAATTGTCAAACCATTAATGTATTATTAGTTGGATTTGCTACGAATAGATTAAATAATTTACATAAAGGGTTAAGGTAATATACTAAATGCTTTGGGCACCTTTATTTTGTTCCCTCACCCATCTCAAATTTGTCTAAGAATTCCTCTGCTGCTTTTATATATATTTGTGCATTGCATTATTGCAATTAATTCACTAGTTGCTAGCTTCCCAAATGGCATTCTGGGCTTTGCTTAGTGCACTAATTTGTACACAAACTTGGTGCACAACATTGTCAGTTGGCTGCACGTTGTCATTGAGCAGCATGTCTTTCTTTTACAGATCTAAAAGAAAATATATCTAAAAATGATTTCAACCTTAGATTTTTAGTTGACCCAGGAAGAAGTGGCTCGAATTTATATTATATTATTTCACTCTGCACACACGGCGCAAATGTACATGGACAGATCTTTTTTTGGGATTGCCTCAAAATTGCAATAAAAGCGCTTGACACTGATTTGTATTCATTTAATTCTCTTCATTTTTGTTGTAGACCTTTCGCTGGTCTCAGTGGAGTCTTGGAGTTGTTGCAGAAAAAAAACTAAAATTAAAATCCATCACCTAATGTGTCGGCTGGTAATGAAATAAGAATATTGACACTCACTCCCATTGAAATGCAAAAGAGGTGTCCTGGCATTGCCCGAGCAATTCATCATAAAATCCAGTGAATTTCTACTTAATATACATGAGGTACAGTAAATTATCATAGGGATTGCCACTATAACAGACTTCTCAAAGTGC